AGGAGGAGGGTATCAATCAAGCTCCCAGAGCCCGGAGGAAGGGTAAAGGGAAAAAAAAAAAAAAAAAAAAACCGTGAGGAACGACTTCTTGTAAGGAGTCCGCCGTTGGATGAATAAATTCACCTGAAGCGGATAAACGAAATGGTTCCCAAAAAAAAAAGACTAGGGGAACGAGTCCACAGCCCGATCCAGCCGAAACGAAAGAGCAATTTGGTTTCTTTTTTTTGTTTTTTTGTTTTTTTTCGGTTGCAAACACAGACTTGGGAGTTCACTCTTGAGGACTGCTTAGGCGGATCTGCCCAAGCGTGATCCTCTCCCTCCTCTCATCCTCCTCTTATCCTCCTCTCTCCTCCTCTCTCCTCCGCTCATCCTCCTCTCTCCTTCTCTTTTTTCCTCTCTTTTCCTCTCCTCCCCCTCCTCGCCCTCCTCGCCCTCCATCTCCTCCTCATCTTCCCTCTCCTCTCCCTCCTCCTCTTCCTCCTCTTCTTCCCTCATCCTTCCCTTCGCTCTTCATCTCCTCTTCCCCATCTCCTCCCCCCCCTCCTCTTCCTCCTCCTCCTCTTCCTCCTCCTCCTCTTCTTCCTCCTCCTCTTCCTCCTCTTCCTCCTCCTCTTCCTCTTCCTTCCCTTCGCTCTCCTCCTCCTCCTCCTCCTCATCCTTCTCCTCACTCTCCCGCTCCTCCTCCTCTTCCTTCACCTCCCCTTCCTCCTCTTTTTCCTCCTCCTCCTCCTCCTCCTCCTCCTCGTAGGGTCCCAGTCTACCGGTGGGCCGCAAGGCGCAGCACATGTCCTTCCTCCTCCCTCCTCCCTCCTCCCTCCTCGCCCTTCCCTCCTCCCTCCTGATGAGACCGGATTACACCCCGTTGAGACGTAAGAGGAACGCGTGCGCGTTTTAAGAAATCCGCTCGCATGCAGTTCTTTTAGTTTTTTAAGAATTATTTTATTTATTCTGTTCATCTGATCCCATCTCGACTCGCCGAACTCAGTCTGTATTTCAACAGTTCATCGGTCTGTACCAACTGGGGTAGGCACGTTGGTATTGCAAATACTATTTGATGAGCGTGCGCAGAGCAATTGCCCATTGCTTGTCTTTCTTCTCCTCCTTCTTCTCCTCCTCCTCCTCCTCCTCCTCCTCACACGCCTCGCTCGTGCCATCTTCTCTTGATTTATTGTATCCGTCATCATTAAGTTCAATCTTCGAGCTTACGCCTTTCATTCCCTTTTACTATAGCTCCCCTTGTCACCCTCCCTCCTCCTCCTCCCCACCTTCTCCTCTTCTCCCCCTCCTCCCCACCTTCTCCTCTTCTCCCCCTCCTCCTCCTCCCCACCTTCTGTTCTCCCCCTCCTCGTCCTCACCACCATCATCATCATCAGTATCACTGTCATCACGTCCAGCTTCCCGCAAAAGATTCGAGAGCTGTCGTCTAGAAAAATTGCTTGATTAATTGCTTGATTAATTAATTGATTAATTAATTGATTAATTGATTGATTGATTGATTAATTAATTGATTAATTAATTAATTGATTGATTAGTTGATTGATTACAATGATTAGTTGATGAATTAATCAAAGAAAATCATCGTGATCATCAACCAGATCAATAGCAGCAGCAGGAGAAGAGTCCTCCGTTCCCCGGGGCGAGGTCCCACTACCCGTAGCAAACAGGATTTCGATTTAACGCCTTAATCTGGACATGTTTGCGGAGAGGTACAGAAAATCGCTGCTGATCTGCTTTTCTGTATCATCTCTGCTTAAAGGCTAATCCTTTTTTTGCCGGAGTCACTGAAACAACAACCAAAAAATATTAAAAAATATAAAAATAAAAATAAATATTCAAAAAACAAGAAGGGGGCTTATGGTTTCCTTTTGCTGGCCCTCCCTCGTCCTCTTGATTACACGATCGTTTTCTTCTTTTTATTTATTCTTTTTCAATTTGATTTTTTATTCTTGTTTTTATTTTTTTATTGTTTTTTAATTAATTACTTTTTAAATATTTTTTAATTCTTTCGTAATTCTTTTTTTTTTTCTTTTTCTTCTGATCCTTTAATTCATTTTTAATTTCTTTCGTAATTCTTTTTTTTCTTTTTCTTCTGATCCTTTAATTCATTTTTAATTTCTTTCGTAATTCTTTTTTTTTCTTTTTCTACTAATCCTTCAATTCTTTTTTAATTCTTTCGTAATTCTTGTTTTTCTTTTTCTTCTGATCCTTTAATTCATTTTGGGTGGTATAGTGCTGGTGGGAGCCGAAAGGCTGAGTATCGCGGATCGCCTCCTGATGAGACCGGTGCGCAGCCGGTTGAAACATGTAGAGGGAAACGTGCGCATTTGAGCATGTAACACGTACTATGAAGTTTCATTGCTGATTCTCAGTGAGCGTGTGCAGAAGCAATTGGCCATTACTTGTCATTATTGTTCTTCTTCTTGATCCTTTAATTCATTTTTAATTTCTTTCGTAATTCTTTTTTCTCTTTTTCTACTGATCCTTCACTCTTTTCTATTTTTTTTTTAATTCTTTCGTAAATCTTTTTTTTTTTTTTTCTACTGATCCTTCCTTACTTTACATTTTTTTTTCCCCCTTGTCTTTTTTCTTTTGTTCTTTCTTGTTTTTTCCCCTCGTTTCCTTAAGATCCCCTCTTCTTCATCAGCATGCCCCTTCGTTTTTTTTTAAATAAAAAGACAAAAAAAAAACACGGCTCCAGTCTTTGTGGAGAGCGTGCCTCCCACACTGTTCTCTTCTCCATAATCGGGGGGGGGGGGGGGGGGGGACTACGCTAAGTCGTTTTCGTTTTTTTCCTTTTTTTTTTTTTTTTAACAGAGGCCACTACCCGCCCACGAATTAACAACGAGACCAGGCAGACTACCTTTTCTTTTTTTTTTCTTTTCTTTTCTTTTTTTAACAGAAAATGGAAGTATTTATTACGGGCCGAGTGCCCAAGCCAAGAATACAAATGATCTGAGACTACCTTTCCTGTTTCACTTTTTTTGTTTTTTTCGTTTTAAAAATAAGCCTCTGAATATAGACGATTGCGTGGTCCAAATTTCCTTTTTTTATTCTTTTTTTTTTTCCACAACTGTTTATTTATTTCCAAAACCAGGACCACTTTCCTCTTGTCTATCCTCTTCCCGCGATTAATAATGCACTTGAGCGCGCCTCAACACCGACGACCTCTTCCCTGCCCCATCTTCCTCCTCCTCTCCTACCCCCATCCTCTCCCCCTTCTCCATCCCTCTCTCTCTCTCTCTCTCTCTCTCTCTCTCTCTCTCTCTCTCTCTCTCTCTCTCTCTCTCTCTCTCTC